CCACAAAAGTTCCAACACGACAAGTTGGAGCTCCCCAACTCGTCGAGTTCCATTCCAAACTCTTGAAAAATAACAAGAATTGTTTAATACCTAGACCAAGCGTTACAGTTGTGAGAAGGTGAAGATGGGGGTACTTTCGGGAAGGACGAGACGATAATTTCTAGTTCATTACACAAGGGGACTGCCTAGTGGTGTGGTGATATTTGGTGGTAAGGGAGAGGATGGAACTGAGGAACCCGCATGTTACTTTTGAAGTTCGGCTATCTTCTTTAGCTTCCTCGCGTTTTTCTCAATTTCTGGATCGAAGACTAGAGGTGTACCTGTACAAAAAGTTCTTGGCATAAAAATTATTAGCAGCATTGTGTCCCCTACAACGGCGCCAATTTGTTAACATGTTGTCGCGGGCATCTTAAGCTAATAAATTGTTGCTTCTTGAATGCACTGAAGGATAGCACAGGGAAGCAGGGTCGAATCCATAGGAACACAACCTAATGGTCAATGCCTCTTTGCGTAAGGCACATACTAGTCCAGAAAATATAAAAAATATAAAAGGGGGATTTTTAATTATAACTAAAATAAAAATAGCAGTGAAAATAACGAAAGAAAATTCAATACTATAAAGCGAATTGCAGTTATGCTGCTACTTTCCTAATCATGCAATCAACATTAAACTGGTTAATCAAAATGTGTTCTATCTAAGCTGGTACTAAGAACAACTAATAAGCTCTTGTACATTTTCTTTTACCTAATTAGTTAACCAAAACAAGCTCTTCAATTAACCCTAACTTTTTACTAATCTAATTAAATAAGCTCTTAATTAAATTTTTAAAAAAAATAACATTATGATCCGTGTAAAGTTCCTGACAATATTCAACACATCTCACAAGCTCAGAAGCGTAAAAATGAAATTTCAATTTATATCATAGTTAAATCCCAACACCGAACCACTATGATACTTGTTACTTATTACCAGTTGATTAAACAATTACGGATTCCATTAACTGATTAACTAGAGTGATTTAATCTTAAATTAGGTGATCAAGCTAAAAGAATCAAAATCAAACATTCATTAAGATCAAAACTGAAATTACTAGCAAGAATTACAAATCAAAAACTAGGTCTAATGATTAACTACATGAAAAGTACTACTTTATACAGAACTGAAATTTAGGGTTTAGTCAGACATGGCTAAAAACGAATCTAGAAAAACAAAAGGACACATTAAACTACTAAATATTACTAAACTAAATGATTGAGATGATCTATAGCCTTGAGATCTTCAGAAAGTGATGAAAACGGAGAGAAATCGCCTCAAAAATCGACTAAAAAGGGTTTATCTTCGTCTGGGAACGTCTAGGCTTCAAAATGATCAGAGAGGTTGAATTTATATGCAACCCAGTGACTTTCAGAGCAAGAAAGACAAAAACACGATCGTGTTAAGGGGAAAATTCCCTGAAATCTCGTTTAATGAAGTATGATGCTATTTTTGACATAATTCTGAAAAATACAATCATTTTATGTGGGAAAACACGATCGAATAAATACTTCGAGGTCTTGAAACTACAAACTAAGGCAAACGATATTCGAATGATCAATTCGAATGTGTTTCTGGAGGAAGCACGATCTGCTTTTGTGTTTTTCATGCGAAATGTTCATTTTTCCTTGACCAAAACAACTTCCAAGCATTCCTCAGCATCCTTTATAAGTTCCGAGCTCCAACTAGGCTCCAATACTCCATCAAACGTGTGACATCCCGGAATTTGGATCAAAAACTATAGACAATCAATTTACCGCGAACCATATTGTAATAAGACTTACGTCATAGTACCTTAATGATTTTTAGTACAACTGAGATCATGTTACTCATAAGTGCCTTCGGGATATCTCAAAATGCTCAAAAACTTGACCATCGTCATCAAACAAAAAACAATTCAAAAATCAATGAGATCTAATCCCCTAAAACTCAAATTTTCGCATTTGACCTTCATGGTGGCCATGGATGATAGAACATGTTCTCAGGATTCTTTGGATATAAAGAACGTCCAAAACGGAGATCGTATGAGAAAGTTATGCATGTTTTAAGCTTTTAAGCAAATATATACCTGATTTTACCCGATATCGGACACTACACAACTCAGTTTGAGGTTACTACACACCTCATACATTAATTTTGAGCACGTTTCTGAACACAGGCTTTGGCCTAGTATTTGATTTAATATTCCGGTATTTTTAGCCCGAACCAAAATCGGACTCGCGAAATTGAAGAATCGGAAACCGGTTGACATGAAACTTCTAATGTCGTTTCACGGAGATCCATACATCGGATTTGAAATCCATTTGCATTTTTAAGATTATCAAAGCAAATCCATTCACAACATATTTCTGATTTATTTTTACGAGGTTTGGATCGAGTGGCACGTAAATCAAGCCGACTTGTGTATGGGGTAAGTCAATGGGGGACAAAAAGGGCATGCTTGCATGCATATGTAGATTTCAACCAAGAAAAGTCAACATTTTCTTGAAGCCTTTGACCTTTGTTAAGTCAAAAAACCAAACGCACCCTCGTCCCTCCCTTTCATCTCTCTCTCTCTCTCTCTCTCTCTCTCTCTCTCTCTCTCTCTCGTTTCTCACTTCTCCGGTGAAGAGAGCCACCACATCCGACTATGGCAGCTCCTCCAACTCCCCCCTGTCATGACCAACCACCATCAAACACCCTGACGCTGCTGCTGCCTTCCATATGTTCCTCGTCAAGCCACCTAACAGAAGAGAAAAGAAGCGGCAGAGCTACCTGCTGCCATCACAACTCCTCCATCACCACCCGATGCCACCACCTCCTGTTGTTGTCGTTGTTATCTTCCGTCATTATCCACCACCCACCGCCTTGCTGCTGCAGTAGATATCAACCACCATCATTATTTTTCTTTTGTTCTTTCATTCGAAACAACCAAGACCGAGAGACCCCAAGTTTCTACATGGGTCTCGTTATTTTTCTTTGTGTTCCACTGCATGAAAATGAACCAGAAGAAGAAACAATAATGTACAAACATTTTCAAATTTTGTTTAAAACGAAAGATGTGTATTAAGTTTACAAGTCAGTCCCTCCCCAAAACTTAGATTTAAAATAAACTGATCAGCCCCTCTATGAATAAATGTTAACAAATTTGGTCCTAACCCTGAAACTTGAGTTTAAAATATACACTTCAGCCCCCTGCTTTGGAAATAAGTTATGAAATCAGTCCCTTATTGAATGATTTTGTCAAAACCAGTCCCTATAATTAATTAATTTACAAAACCACCCCCATACTTGATAAATAATACCAAAACTACCCTTTTGGTTTATTAGGTAACAAAAATAATCCTAGTGATTTATTTTTAATGCAAAGAGCGTCGCATAGTGGTTTTTCACGTCACGCTTAGTTCTCGAATAGGTGAGTGCTTACGGCCCCTTTTTAACGGTTTTATTATTTTTGGGGAGAATACATATGAAAAACATATATCGATTATGAAAAACGCATGTTGAACTCATATTTAGCTTAAATCGATACTTTGTCAAAATAATATATCAAGACTAGTTTTTATCATGACATACGCATCTCATAGTGGTTTAAAACATGCTATACAAAAAAAAAAAGATAACTTACGTGATGCATGTTATAAATTATAAATCATAAGAATCTTATGATTTTACGAAGTGTTGAGCATCAGCACTACCGGTTGATCTAAAACCAATTGGTGTTAGAAAGGGCGCAACCTTACCCATATAACGCATTCAGCCCTCCAGGACCAGGCATTCGATTACGGCACTCCAGGCCATCGTGCAAAGACTTGGTCGATGCCATTTCTGACCTCCAACAATCCCCCCCCCCCCCCTCAGAAATTCCTCCCTGAGAGAATCGAACCCTCGCCTCTGGCTCTGATACCACTTGTTGAGCATCAGCGCTACCGGTTGATCTAAAACCAATTGGTATTAGAAAGGACGCAACCTTACCCATATAGCGCATTCAACCCTCCAGGACCAGACATTCGATTGCGGCACTCCAGGCCATCGTGCAACGACTTGGTCGATGCCATTTCTGACCCCCAACACGAAGTAATGTCAAGGTTGCAGAAATCGGGATTAATCGTAGATTAATCGCTCGGCGTTCTACAACTGATTAGGATTAGGGGTCCTAGGCGTTAATTGGTCAATATCGGTCAACGATGGGCTTGGCGGTCTTGGCGGTCTTGGCGGTCAACGACGGTCAACGAAAGTCAAAATAAGTCAAAGGTAAAAGTTGGTCAAAATTAAAAAAAAAAAGGCTCCAAAAAAGTTCCAAAAAATTCTTCTAACCCTAAAATCGTCATATTCATCAGCCGTTTTTATGCTCTCTCTCAAAAATTGAAGCGACGCAAGCCTACCCCAACGATACAGCTGATGGCGACGCCCGCCATTCTCCGACGAACCTCCAGCGGCCACTGGTGAACCTCCAGGGACAGCGGCGTTCGTATTTCAGGTTAGCGATTTCTTAATCTGAGTTCGTTTTTTTCCCAAAAAAGGTTGAGTTCTTGTTTGTTCATTGAAAGTTCACTTCCGATAATGTTATAAAATTGATTTGTTCTTTCGTTTTAGAATCTTGTATAGAATTTATTACATTTGTTAATTGTTGAATTTAATATTCGTATATAGTCGCCGCCCATGTGGGTTTATGTAGAACAAGTAAAAGCCAATATTCATGGCTTCCTGTTTGCTGTTAATCACGAGTGTATACCATAAATTTCTTTTTTTTTCTTAGTAATTTACTAATTTATTATAAATATATTAGAAACAAGGTTTGTGTTGTATTGAAATATAGTCGCAATCTGTAATTTGGATATTTTGATGCCTACGAGTGCTTCTTCAAGATTGCAGCTAAACATTAGATTGACATTTTTGCTGTGATATTTTGATGTCTGCTGAAAATTTGTGATTTATGTTGTGTATTTCTGATGTATTTTTCTGGTATGTATAACAGTGTTCAATCATGACATCTAAAAATTCGACTTCACCATCGGTGGGATCAACCTCCATCGGTGCTCATAAACGGAACTCAGATGATATTGGTTGGGAATATGGTTTTTGCCCGGATAAAAACAAGATGGATACAGTGAAATGTAACTTGTGTGGAAAAGTGTTTACCGGGGGGGTTACTAGATTGAAACAACATATTGGTCATGTGATGGGAAATGTTAGTCGATGTCCAAACTCTACAAAAGATGATCAATTGAAAATGCGAAATTTTCTCAACGAAGGGAAAATAAAAAAGAAAGCTAAACACGCACATGACGAGGCCTTAAGAGCGGAAGCAGCACAAGTGTTAAATGATAGTGTTGAAATGGATGAAGTAGAAGATTCTTTGGGGTTGAAAGCACCAAATATTATAGGACCCATGGATGGATATGCAAACAAAATAAACCCCGAAATTATGAAGGGAAAGGGAAAAAAAGTTGATCTTAACGATGTTGTTCGGAAAGAAAGAATTTTAGCGTGTCATAATTTCATTAGTAGGTGGGCATATAAAACTGCAATTCCTTTTCATGCATTGGAAGATGATAGCTTCAAAATGATGTTGGAGGTTGTTGGACAATTTGGAACAGGGCTCCCACCTCCTACCAGGTATTCTTTGAGTGACCCACTCCTAAAGCATGAGGTTGAAAGAACAAAAAAATTGTTGAAAAAAAATGAAGAAGAATGGAAAGAGATTGGATGCTCGATCATGACGGATGCTTGGTCCGATAGAAAGAGAAGGAGCATTATGAATTTATGTGTAAATTCAAAAATGGGTACCGTTTTTTTATCATCAAAAGAATGTTCCAATGAAGCACATACAAGCCAATACATATATGATTATGTGGAATCTTGCATTAACAAGTTGGTCCCGATCATGTTGTTCAAGTTGTAACCGATAATGCCACGGATAACATGGGAGCTGCAAAGTTACTACAAGAGAAAAGACCAACTATTTTTTGGACATCATGTGCGACACACACAATTAACCTTATGCTCGAAGGTATTTATATTTTTTTATTACATTATTTACCAATTTAGTTTTTATCATCTTTTATTTTATACTATAATTCATTAAATTTGTTAGGTAATCTTTTTTTTTTTCAAGGTATCGGTGGACTTCCAAGGTTTAAGAAAGTCTTAGATCAAGCAAAGAAATTAACCATCTTTATTTATGCTCACCACAAAACCTTGGCAATGATGAGAAACCACACCAAGAAAAGGGAAATTATCCGACCGGGAGTCACGAGATTTGCTTCCGCCTTTCTAACATTACAAAGTTTATCCGAAAAGAAGGAGCAACTAAAAAATATGTTCTCTAGTAACGAGTGGGAGGAATGCAAATTTTCCAGTACCCCTAAAGGAAGAGCCTCATATAGAATGGTGACAAGTCTCCAATTTTGGGCCGGTGTGACACAATGTTTAAAAGTGTTTTCTCCTTTGGTGAAAGTCCTTCGAATGGTTGATGTGGATTGGAAGCCCTCAATGGGGTTTGTTTATGGTGAGCTTAAAGTAGCAAAAGAAGAAATTATGAAAGCTTTGGGTGGCAACGAGAAAGCTTACAAGCCTATTATAGATATCATAAACAACAAGATGAAAGGTAGGCTAGATTCAAAATTACATTTGACGACCTATCTTTTGAATCCTTATTACCATTATAATGATTCCCAACTCCAATATGATCCCGACGTAATGGATGTGGTTCTTGAATTTTTTGATACATTACTTTTTGGAGATTTTGAGATGCAAAGACAAGTCGTGATGATTGATTTGCCAAAATACAAGGAAAAAGTTGATAGATTTGGAGCAGATCTTGCAATTAAAGGTTGTATGGTGAACAATGCCGACTTTGATCCGGGTAATATGCTTTATGTTTATTTTAGTAATTTATAAAATAATAGAATTTTATATCTATCAATTTAATAATGTTTTTTTGCTTTAATATTATAGCAAGATGGTGGGGACTTTTTGGCGGCTCAACTCCTCATTTGAAAAAAATTGCAATGAGGATTCTTTCTTTAACTAGTAGCTCATCGGGCTGTGAAAGAAATTGGAGCACGTTTGAAGCGGTTAGTTATAAAGTTATAATCTTTAAATATCAAGAATGTTTTTAAGCTTTTGTTATGTATACTTTTATAGGTACATACGAAGAAACGAAATAGATTGGAGACAAATAGATTGAACAATCTTGTTTATGTTCAATTCAGTGCTAATCTAATGGAAAAAAACAAAAAGAGAAAAGATAGGACTTTGGAAGTGCTTTTAGCAAATGATTCTCACTCGGCTCAAGAATGGATTATAGATGGAGATGACGGTGATGGAGATGAAGTTGACCTCGAATCAGTTATGGAAGCGATTGATGAAGCTCTCAAGACTAATGATACTCAAGTACCCCATAAAAGTTCAACAACGAGAGAACTTTACGATGAAGATTTCGAATCCGAGAATGAGGAGCAAGTGTTTGAAGAAGATGAATATGAGTCGGATGGAGTTAAAATAGTGGAATAACTTGAAGATTAGAAGAATATGGACATTTAAATGTATAAAAATGTGTGTTTTTATTATTAGTAAACTTATTTTGGACTTGTAATGGATGATGACTTAAATGCTTAAATACTAGTTATGACTTTTTGTATGGTTACTTATTTTATGACTTTTTGTATGGTTATTTGCTTATTTTATATTAATTTTTTATTAATAATTAATGGTCCCCGATTAATCCCCGTCGAGATCAATTAATCCTTTAACCCCAGTCGACCGTCAAGCTACCGTCGAGCGATTTTTGCAACCTTGAGTAATGTGTATCAAAAAATATGAGTTACGAATGTTTGTCAACTTTGCATTATTTACCTATGTCTTGCATAGATTTGTATATATGTTAAATAGATATGTATAAATTATAACACTTATAACTTAGAATTTATTCACGCACTTGAGAAACTTACTATCTATCTATTTAAGCGAGTAATATACACTTTTACAAATATATCGAATTTACTCAGCTTTTATAGAACAAATATATTGTATACCTTGGTTAATGGCTTTTTAGTGAGACACTAGTCATTGCCTAAGTTTAACCACTTAGTATACCCACTCGACAATAACCGTTAATCCTTGGAGCGAGATACGTATTTATAGATCTATATGGGTTGACACCCCCACTTGCGGTTGCTAGCTATAACCTTGACGGATCAATCGAAGCAGGTGATAATTATCTTTTGTCATTTATCCACGACATCAAATGAAGCTTTTTAAGGGGTTATATCTAATCACATAACTCAGTTATAGGACTCACTATAAGCATTAACTGGATCATTTATCTAGAAACCACGGATTCAATTCTCTCTTTATCAAACATTTTAAGTATGGATTTACTTATGATTTATCTCTTTATCAAACATTTTAAGTATGAAATTACTTATAATTTATCTCTTTATCAAACATTTTAAGTATGGAATTACTTATGATTTATCACTTTATCAAATATTTTAATGAAATTACTTATGATTTCTCTCTTTATCAAACATTTTAAGTATGGACTTACTTATGATTTATCTCGTTATTAAACATTTTAAAGTATGGAATTACTTATGATTTCTCTCTTGGTCAAACATTTCAAGTATAGATTTACTTATGATTTATCTCTTTATCAAACTTGGTTTCAACTACAAGGGAAATATTTTTCCGACTTTTTAAAAGTATGATTACTGCGGTTAGTAGAAAATCTATAGCTCTCATCAATCTTTGTGTTGACCCTCAAAATACATGTATTCTCAGGAGATCATTGAACCAGCTTTTAGCAAAAGAATTGTTCATGGATTTCAAGCAACCTAGCTTTCTCTAGTTTTTGTTATGTCGTCCTATCTGCTAAGGAAAATTCATGTACTTACTATAATTATCTGTATGAACCATGTATCTAAACTTTAAAGTGGCATATAACTGTGGTGTTGTTAGTGTCGTAACTTGTGATGTATATTCAATTTGCTTGTGATCCATAAACTAAGTCGCACAGCCCGACATGTTCCGCCGCCTCGGTCGGGGTGTGACAAAACGCATCCAAAGTTGTTCCCAAATCACCGCTCCACTCAAAATACCTGAAAAAGACATAAAACGCGAGCAGTATGGGAATTTTGATGATAAACATGAGCTTAACATTATTTTATACTAATGTGCATGAAAATGCGTAAATATGATGCTAAATGTTAATAAAAACTACCCTAAAAATGCATGAAAAGCCATCTAACATGGTTTAAGCTCCGCCTTATCAATTTCCCATATATCCATGTTCAAAATGTCCCTTTTTGCACTCATTTTCACCAAATTATATAGTTACACTTTCAATCTGTTCTTCAACCCATTAAGAGAAAATAATGCATTTAATAATATGAAACTGAGATTCAATGAATCTATGAAGAATGGACTAAAATTAGGAAATCTTACCTTTGTCTTGCTCTCTTGGGAGCTCCATTTCAACCACCATCCTGCATGCTTCTCTTATGGCCTTCGAAGTCCAGCGTCGATTGCGAGGATGGAAATGTGCTTCTAGATCTGTTTAAAATTTTAATATAATATAACTTCTGGTCCCCAACTTTCCCCATTCAGTCCACTCCATAGGATGTGCTTCTAGACATGTTTCCATTATTAATGGATATAAGTTCAACACGTTTCGATTAGTAGGACTCATTGATTATATAAGAAACCGTTTAACATTGTATAAATGATTAATACAATTTTTAAGTGCAACACTCTAATAAGAAATAAAAAAAATATTGTTGGAAAGTGCACTGCTATACAAATGCCTAAATACAAAAAAAATAGAAAAACAAAAAAAAAAAAAACCTCGATTCTTTTAGTATGTAACGCCCGCAAATTCAGGATAGACATTGCATAAATAATAGATAATCTTAGCTAAAGATGTAGTAGTCATAATAATTATATCATGTATATAAGGGGCACTTAAATTCAACTTCATATGAAGAAGTTATGCTTCTTCAAAGTTTTGCAATCAAACCGACACAACTATGCGCGTCATGAAAAGTGGATCGAAGATAGGTTGATTATTAGCCTAAGTAATCTAAATGAAAGTCGTTGTAATCGTAAAATCGAGAGCGTGCATATAAAGAACGCCTAAATCTGACTTCATATGAGGAAGTTACGGTTTTTCAAAGTTTCAGCGCAGTAGTGCGGACACAGAAATCGAAATTCAAATTGGTTGATTGTTAGCCGAAACAATCTAAACGAGAATCAAAGATCTCGTGAATAGGATTCTGTCGATATAAAAACAGTCGAGAACGGGTGTCATATAGAGAAGTTATGATTTTTATTCGGAGTTTAACATTCTAAGCCCTCCAAAAATATAACTTTAAAAATAAAGTGATAATTAGCTGACAAAGCTTATATGAAAGTTGTAGTACTCGTCGATAACTACGTGTGGATATTCAGAACATAAAAAACGGAGCTCGTATAAGAAATATATAATTTTATGAAGTTTTTCGAAAAGCGCTACATGCAGGGCGCGACACACACCTTCTAGAAGCAGGGGGCGTGGACCAGGAGAATTTCAACATGTGTCAGCATGCCGCAGGATTGATGTCGCCATATGGCGCGACGCGCCTTGCCCGAATTTTGGCTATAAATAAGTGCAACCCTCCGCATTCTTACTCACACCCTTCCATACATTCTCTCTGGAAAATTCCACCCTTTAGTCCTGAATTTCTTTAGAAACTAGGAGATCTTAACAAGGCTCTGGGCATCTGAGAGTCCAGCATATAGAAGCTTTCATGTTGGGGTTCTGCCTGCAAACTTTCTAGACTTTTTTCCAGAAATCTCTGTAATATGCTTTAGGTGTAACTTATTTATATTCATAGTCGATGTTTTGATTTATAAATAAGATTTATCAGTGATCCCAAGTCATAATAGAAACTGATCTACTTACAAGGGTGATGTCTAGGCTATATTTAGTGAGGTGTTTAAAGTGAGATTTCCAAACAGTATACTCTATACACCAAACATATATTACCTTCGATATGATCTTACATGGTTATTCCTTACTTGATAGATCTTTATGTAGACATTGAGATTAGTGAGGAATCTAGACTATCATTAGTCCCAAGAAATATAACACTAAGACTTAGTGATGTGAATACCTAGGTCATATCAAAGGAAAAGCTAAGATGTTAGGCGAAGCTCTACCAAAATCACAAGCCATCCCCTTTATGAAGTGAGTGCATATTTACTTTTATCTTACACATAGATATGAATTATTTAGATAATTAACTGCTATATATGCTTATTATCTATGCTTAAGATGTTATGTGTTAGATGAAACAATATGAGATGATTTTTAATCAATTTAACTGTATATGTATTTTCATACTTATAATATACTAGGTAGTGATGGGTGATGAGAAATGAAAAATGATGAGGAGAGGCCATGAATTTACTAGCGATGCACGATATAAGCATCTACCAGAGTATAGATGACGACCACAGACTATTCTAGACAATCCAGTGGAACAATGGCAGGTTCGCAACATATAAGTGATGAACTATGTGATGAACTATATGTTCATGCGATGTACTCTATTCCTTACTGACATGTATTACGGAGGAATATCCAAAGCAGTACTGTCTACGGGATGTTTGTAATGATCCTTAGGACAAGTACTTAGAGATGAATATATAAGAAAATGGGGATGAGTAATCGGGTTAATTGTTTGACGTAAAATATATTATTAAAGAAATTAATTATATTATTGTGGGTTGAAAACCCTATGTAATCACCAGGCTTCACATCCTGACCCACTCAGTTTCTTTGTATTACAGATAGCAGTATAAAGGTTCATGGATAGTGATGTTTGGATTTGATGAGAGATTCGAGGAGATGTATGCCATTAATATAATAAGATGGTGTAAGGCCTGTAATGACTATGTTTATGCTTATGTTTCTTATATCAGTTATGACATCTCATGTTTTAAATAATCAATGAAAAATGTTTCTTCGGAAATACTTTTATGGGACAAATTCGGCATTTATAAAGAATACTTTGTTTTAAAATAAGCATATAGAAAATGTCTTTTTAGACCTTGAAAATGGGGATGTCACATTGTAGCTCAATTCTTTTAAGTTATTCTCATCCCATGCTCTAGACTACAAAATAGTATGTCGTTAAATAAAAACTAATTTTAAAATTATATCATATATATCCTAATAAACACATACCTTATAATACAAAAGGCTTTAAAGTGGTGTTTTCCTTTGTTATTTTCCTTTTGCAACCAAGACGCATACGTTTACTCATATTTTTAACCCCCACTTCCTCCACGCACATGCCAAGAAAACGAATTTGAATATAGACCCTTCAAACAGACTGTATAGCTCCACAAGAATCATATTGCTATTATCATCAAATCAAAACATAAGGTTAAAATATGTATTAAATAAAACTAAAATTTCAAAATAAAATAAGTAATTTTAAAGATTTTGAATCCAACATGATAAGTTGCTT